TATTTCCTTAAAACATAAATCATCAATAAAGACGACCTGAACCTTCAACTTAAATAAATTCGTGTTTATTTCTTTCAGAGTTCACTACTTAAACTCCCTGTTAGCAAATAAGCTTTGTTATCCTAACGACGTAGTGTTTAGGCTTAACACCGTTGGCAAAAAATATCAATCCATCAAAATCAGCATGATCCTATCACTTTTTATTATAATCACACTTTTTGAGGGGTGTGACTATAAAGGGGCAAATTTTCAGGACCGCGCGGTCTCAGAAAATACGTGATTTGTTTCTTTTGAATATAAAGTATACATAATACTATATTACGCAAGCATGCAATCTGAAATAGATGATTCCAGATTGGCCGAATTCATTGAAATAATGTATTATCGAGGCTGAGAATGATAATATTAGGGCCGCGAATGTACAAACATCCCAGAGCATGGATTGGATAAGGATAAAAATTATTATATATAATATATATATCATTTTCCAACAGAATAATTAGGTTAAGGTTGCAAGGAACTCGTGAATAACAATTTGTCAACATTTTCGATTTTTTATAGCATAAAATAATATTTTGCAACGCTGTTCCCACTAGTTTACCGCAAAAAAAGAGATTTTCGTTAGCCATTTTTAAGTAATATATTTACCGTTGCTATATTATATTTGTTGATGTCTGATTTTAGTAACAAATTACCCTTTGTTTTTTAATTAATAAATTTTTTTTTTAATCGAATCCTGATTTCACAAATTTTAGAATATTTGGTTAGATCCAATAGTAATTTAAGAATCCCATTCAAAATTAAATGTCCAAATTTTGCAAAATAGTAACTTTTGACCTTATAATAACGGAATAGTTATATGAAATTCGCACACCTGTATGTAAAGCCCGAGTTTATTAAAAAATATAAGAATATATCTATATATTGTTACTAATAAATTGTAATCAATGATATCCTTTATCTCTCTTTTATATTTTGATATAATAAAAAATTTTCTATCGTTTCGACGTGTATGATAAATAAATTTTTTTTTTTATTAAATTTTCATTGGGTGATAGAATCATGCTGATTTCCTTTTTCGTCGATTTTTTAATTTTAATCGTGTAACAAACAAATTTAACGTTAAAATATTAAAATATTAAAATATTATTATAATTTCCCTTTTAATAATAAATCTTTTTAGTTTTATTTTCATAATTTTTTACGTTTCTATGTATGTTTATACTTTGCTTAAATAATATCAATTTATCCAATTGAATACTTATTATAATCTAAAATATAAAATTCGAAAGAAAATTAATTTATTATATCGCTATTTTCCTGTATGACATAAATGTTGTATTACATTGGTGCTTATGAAAAGCAAACAAATAATCTCATCTTCTCATTTTTTCAATATAAAATACTTGCCCCTTTTTGATGTTATATGAACTTTTTTCGAAAAGACATTAGTTCATTATGTATCGTCCAATCACTGATTGTGATTACGAACATAATTACTATGAGAAAAGCTTGATTTGTAAAAAACTCGAAGAAAACAAGAAGCAAATCATTCCTGATAAATTAATGTGTTGTAATAAAAAGGAAAATAATTGTTCCGCCTACACAAAAGATTGTTTTGAACCAGATGTAATAGTTCAATGCCATAATCTTACAACCCTTGACGCTTGCAGGCGTAATGATATAACTGCACTCCAGGTTTGTGGTGGTTTGCAAGGTGGACTTTACTGCTTAACGACGGGTGGAGCGGTAAATGATCCACAATATACCCAACTTTATTTTCCTGAAGCAATAGAATGGATGGTGAGTCGGAACAAGCTCGAAGAATCTAAGGAGTCAACTGTTTGTTATGATCAAGTTCAGGGATATCAATTATGCAACTCTACTGGAAATCCTACTGCAAACTTTACATGTGGTGACTTATTTCAAGAGGGATGTAATAAATGTACTTGGAAAAGCAGTGGGGGTAGCATCCTTAATCGATACATAAAAGGAGAAATATGTGAACCTAGTGCGGATTCTCAAACGCCTACAATAATTGGATTAGGCATTTGTGTTGGAGTTTTAGCAATGATTCTGATTTCGATTGTTGCTGTGAAAGTTTACAAGAAAATTCGAACTAGTGGTTCTTTTTAATTATATTACAGAAACCGCCTCAGAATTAGGACAACTTCTATAATTCTTTACATGATTGAGACATTCAATTCCCTTGATGTCAAGTATGAAACAAATTCTCAAATTTTAATTAGAGGAGTCTAAGAATCTCATTTTAGTAATTTATGTACAAATTTATTTAATACAAATAATTTAATTAAGAAAGTTTCCATAATTATAAATAAATCTTTTATTATTTCCACAGACTTATATAATGCAATGAATTTTAAAAAAATAGATTGCAAAAATAGATTAAAGCATTTCGATTCATCCTAATTTAGCATCAATTTTCATGGTTTAATCCAGCTAATAACCGGATGAAAAAGCATTTTAATCAACTGGAGCTGCCAAACTTCACCAGGACAAACTTGTTGCATAAATTCTTCTTTTTTTATTAAACCAAAATTCCGAAAAGATTTTTTAATTTAGCCAATTAGAATCTTTGTCGATCAGCAAATACTGTAAAAAGCTTTGGATATGGTTAATTCTTTTGTATAAATTTTGTTATAAATTTTGGATAATATCTGCAGAAATGATGCTGCGGAATGATAGAAATTTCTGTTTTGTATTCAGTCATATTTAGAAAGGATCAGATTTCCTATCTTCGTTCTATTATATGAACAACAATTATTTCCAATTTCGTCAATTTTTTCTTGTTCCCGAGATGAGATTAGATGAATCTAAATTATGTGGTTGTACAATTCACAAAATTAGGATTTATGAAAGGTTAACCAATTTTTCACTTTCACAACGCTCATTTTACGTAAAAGCAATTCATTATCGTTATGTATCGACCGATTACTAATTGTTCATACGAACTTTATTACAACGAAAAAAGTTTGATTTGTAGCATAATCGAAGAAAACAAGGAGCATGTCCCTTCTGATAAATTATTGTGCTGCAATAAAGAGGAACGTAGTTGTTCTGCATACTCATCTGGTTGCTTCGTACCGAATGAAATTGTCCAATGCCACAATCTTACAACCTTCAACGCTTGCAGACGCAATGATAGTGTCGCACTTAATGTTTGTGGCGGTTTGCAAGACAGTCTTTTCTGTTTAACAACTGGTGGAGCGCGAGAAGATCCACAATATACCCAACTTTATTTTCCTGAAGCAATAGAATGGATGGTGAGTCGGAATAAGCTCGAAGAATCTAATGAGGTTGCTGTTTGTTATGATCAAGTTCAGGGCTATCAATTATGTAATTCTACGGGAAATCCTACGGCAAATTTTACATGCGGTGACGTATTTCAAGAGGGATGTAATGAATGTAATTGGAAAAGCATTATAGGTAGCAACGTTAAAAGGTTCATAAAAGGAGAATTATGTGAACCTAAAGCGGTATCACAAGCTCATACAATAACCGGCTTAGGCACGGTTGTTGGAATTCTATCATTAATTTTGGTTACGATTATTGCTGTGGCGGTTTACAGGAAGTTTCAAACTCGTGGGGTCAGTATTTTATATATCCCATCATCTTTGAGATATCCCGCCGAAGTATAATGCTAACGACGTTCTTTTAAATTATATTACAGAATGCTCCATCAATAGAATCAGAAAATGTGAGTTGATTCTTTGACGTGAAACATACTCCACCGAAGTATAATGTTAACGATGTTCTTTTATATTATATATATATTACAGGACATACCAATAGTATTAGAACCAGAAAAAATGAGATCCTGACGAGATACATATCTTTCTACGTATGTCTAGTGTATATAACCATTTATATCTGGGATATTTAAGAATTTTGCATTCTAGGCGCTTTCTTACAGAACTATTTATATTAGCAAAAACTTTCACGGATTCACTATTTTATTAAATAAGATAAATATTATTATTTTGAATTAAAAACAAACTTATTATTGTAATATATTCGGTTATCGAATCAAGAAACTTTATCTCGGATTAGTTTTTTTTTATTGATAAAATATTTAGTAAATAATTGAAAATTTCGGTTTCAATAAAGGAATTTTTAAAATAAATTCTATATATTATGATTTTATAAAATCAGGTTCGTTTAGCGCCATCTGATAAAGAATTAATTTCACTACTCAAATGGATTCGTCTAAGGTGAGGAATTAATTTCATATTAAGTAGGCAGCTTTTATATGTTGTAATTTCCAATAGATTTCGCAATTAGAATTAGCAAGAAGAATTGCTAAAATTTTGAGTATACTATTATTGATCACGTGAATCATGCTCGTTCATAAGAAAGTTCCCGATGGATCCTCTGAAAATCTTCATGGGATTTTCATAAAAATGCCTACTCATCATTTCTGATTCCCAAATATGTATTTGATGCTTGATCTTCCTCGTCAGGATGCATAGCCGGTCATGATTTTTACTAATAACTTCTTTGGCTCCCTTTATTTTTGTAAAAAATTTAATTAGAACCTACGATATCAATAAATGTGATAATTGATTCAGAATAACAGAACAATTATTTTATTATAATAGTAATACATTTCTAAGAGATTCATTAAATTAATCTAAACTTTTTAAAATATGAGCTCTGTTGGCATATTCTCTGAGATTTATCAAACTTTGAAAGTGACGAGCTTCTTAACTCTTTAATACAAAATTGAAATATGTTCAAGGACAGCTTGTTAAACTAGTAATTTATTATTTATTTATTTATTTATTTTTTAAAGAAAAAGGTTTGTAAAATTATTTTAAAATCTAAATGATGTATCGGTAAAAAAAAAAAAATTCTAAACGCGCGCAAGTTGATCAATAAGTAATAATATACAAGGCTCTATAAAAAAATATATATACCAATCGAAAGAGAAATAGCTGAGGAAACTGGCTTATAATTTGTTAATAAACTTAATTGTGTCGAACTTTTCGAACGATTTTATGCATATAATATCAGACCAGCAAACACAAAATAGGTCTGAAAGATAAAAATTAAGCAAAAAAAGGCATTATAAAAAAAATTCAAGAAGAATTATTAACTAATCAAAGAATGTTAACGAAATATACATTTTTGGTTGATAAAAAATAATATTGACCAATATAAAAAAGGTAAGTAAATTGATTTAAAAGGAAAATTGTGTTCATATTGCCACTGATCGCATTGAACCGATCAAAAGCTAAAAAAAAAATTAAATTATTAATAAAAGAAATTAACTACATAAAATAAAAAAAAACCCTGAACCAATAGCATTAAAGATAGAAGAAAAAAAAAGAAAACAATGTAAAAATAAAAAAATAAAAATAATAGTAATGAAAACAATACTAAAGGCAAAAAAATAAAACAAAAAATAATAACAAAAAAAAGATCGAATCATCACTCAAACCGTCATGATGAACTGTCCGATCCGAATCTAAAAAAAGAAATCGCCCCTAGAGAATAGAAAAAAAATAAAAAAATGGAATTAGTAATCCCAATCAATACAAAAAAACAACAACAAAAAAAAGATAATCTCTCACCTTCATCGTGACGGACCGATTGAGCTCTCCTAAATCAAGCTAAATAAAAAATATTTGTAAACTGATTTTAAAAATAAAAGATATATAAAGGAAGTTTTATTACTATGAATAAAAATAGATTATATAATTATTCAAAAAAAAATAAATCTCACCTTTCTGCGACGGACTGATCGAACCGATCGAGATCCAGATTAGACTAGCCATCCGTCCTAGATAAAACAAAAGATAAGAGATAAAAAAAATAGCAAAGGTTAGTAATCTGACACAATGCAAATAAAAAGAAGAAAGAAAAAAATCAACAAACTCACCTTTGCCGTGACGGTTCTTTTTTTTTTTGCATTGTTGAGATTACTAATTACTAATTCCTTTTTTTATTTTTTTCCTCTTCTGTAGGCGATTTTTTTCTCTAGGGATAAAAAAAAAAATACATTAGACTAAAAAAGTATCAGAAACAAATTACTTATAAAATTATTTTTATTAAAATACAAAAAAAACAGGTGGGTGACAAGTTGGGGTGCTCAACTAGTTAAATCAAAACTATGTATGGTCCTATAACAAAATTACTATTGAAGATTTATTTATATTAAGCTATTTTTTTCTTTAATAACTCTGAATCCTTCTTATCATTTTCATTTCAGATTCTTCGAAAATACTCCAAATATCCGTCTCTTTCACAAAATAGAGCGCTTTTTTTTTTAAAAAAATTCATTAATACTCTGAAATTAATAAATTAAACCTTCTAAATAAAATAAAACTTTTTTTTACGTGAATTTTGAAAAAAAAGATGTATTTTATGTTTCTTAAAGCTATCATGTACCCATTCAACTTTATTGCGTTACTTAATTGTTAAATTTTAATGATTTCGGTTATTTTTATTAGAATTTTATTAGGAAACATGGCTCGCAAAACCCGAAGTTAAAATGATCTTCAAAAAATCTCTAATACTATAGGACCATATATAGTTTTGTTAAAACAAGTCATCCGCAGTGAAAATCAAAACCAGTTCTAATTAAAATCTCTTTTCAAATTCAAATATTTTAGAAAAAATTATAATTGCCAACGTATGACAGCCTTAAATGATATTTATTAACGTTAATAAATTAGAATAAAACTAAATATATTATTACAAAGTTAGAAATTAATGATAGTTAAATTTTAGTCTGACCCCTTGATAATTAAGGAGTTGTGAAACATTCATGATGATCATTACATCACTGACCCAGAAATTCGTTATCATCCTAAAATGGTAAACAGATTACTTTTTAGCGAAAACGAAATGTAAACTCACGAGGTCACAGAATTCAAAACCTTTTATACAGGTAATCTAAACGTTACCGATCGGACATGGATTTTTTATAATATAGATGATTTGGGGGAATGCTAAATTGCTACAAAAAAAAAAAAAGAGGTAATATATACAAACAAATAACTTTGTAGTCAAATTCAAAACGTGGCACCCAAATTTTTGACGGAATTACAATATTTAGAATCGATTTATCGTTTCTCCAAGATTCGACTCTAAGACTCAATTTTCGATTTTTT